ACAAGCCACAGCTCCATCCTGTGCCCTCACCTGTCCTGTGCAGCGACTGCCCCTGCCCCAATCCCCGCCCCACTCCCTCCTTCACCACGTGGGCCTTGATCTGCACCTCCCTATGCCCCTTCCCCACAACAGACTTACCAGGCAGATGCTGCTCTCCAAGCTGCCAGGCTACGTATCAGCAATCAGAGTAGTATCAGCCTAGAGGGCTGGTTAATAATCAGCCATCGGTATCAGCCCAAAACATCTTTATTGGTGCACCCCTAGTTTTAAGTGCTGTGTTGAATACAATGGTTTGTTAGCAGAGAGTTAATTACATTAAGGTTTGTTTTTTTCAAAAAATAATATAAATAAAATGAAATCAGTCAAACTGAGACTAACAGACTCAAGAGCTTTTCTTTAAATTACTAGAGTACTAGTACCACATATGCAAATGAACTCTTTGTATATGAACAGGCTTTCAAAATGTATTGCTTTACTTGTAAAACAGCAAAAATCTGTATTCAACTTCAGTAAGTCATTTCTCCAGCTCCTTGGCACTGGGACAGACTTCAAGAGATCTGAAATTAACTGATCGGAGGCACATAAAGAATCTTGAATCACTCATGTATGATGGATAAGTGTTCCTGTAGTTAAATTATATTGTTTTAAATTATATTCTTGTTTTATGTTTCCAGGTTTTAGAGAGTTTTATGTAGTGTAAAATCGCATGTATTAACCTTCTGCCATCTTTGCCAGACTCATCCCAAAAAAGATATTTATGAGTGAACAGTACATTTCTGACAAGGTAAAAAAACAAAGCAAAACAAGTAATGAAGGAGCACAGTTCCTTCGCAGGGGCTGAGAACAATTCACTAGGGTTAATGGAAGTTGCATGTGTAGACATTCCAATTGTGGAGTTAAAAACAACAACAACAACAACTCTCCCCAAATCCTGACCCCAATGAAGTCAGTGCAAAATTACAGGCACTAGGTCCAGTGAAGCCGTGTCTCAACTTAGGGTAACTTTTTTGAAACTGCCATTACATTTTATGGCTCTTCAGAAATACCTGTGTCCTACTATTTCCCTAGAACTGCAGCATATTCAGCGAATTGTGTCAACATGTATATGATTTAGCCGAATGGTAAATAGAGTTTCTTCCATCAATATTAATGCCACTGTATAAAATAAGCCCTCTCTCACATTCCCTACTGGGATCATTCGTTAGCCTAACAGAATAAAACCGGAAAGCCAAAAGTATAAGTACTGAGATTTGGGAGACAGTATGAGACAGGCCAGGACACCAACACATTTCCAGGATCTGTCACATTATGCTCAGCTAAGGCTATAATCCCTGGATCCTGCTCCATCCACCTACATAGATTATATCCCCGGATCAAGGCCCAAATGTATTTCTGTTTTTGAACTGGGTACAAGCTGCAACATTTGATAGAGTTGCTCTTTGTCAGTATGAGCTGGCTCAGAACTCCCAATTTAAAAGCATTTCCCTCTGCCCCCTCTCCTTCCCAATGCCTTCAGCATAAATTCTCTCCCCCCATGGTCACTGAAAGCAGCCCAACCCCATGCAAAAGGCACTTCAGACCTCAATTATGGCAACATAACAGGATTAAGTGTGGGGGGGGAAATCTATAACCATATTTTAACGCATAAATTCCTTATTGTCGTTTTTAGTTGACAAATATCTATTTCATAGCAAAACAACATCACAGGAACAGCTGGATGGCAGTTTCAAGCTCAAATGAACCAGCAGCACATGCTGACAAGTCATCTCTCTGATTGCCTTTGAATGGCAGCACATGCAGATTTATTCTCTGCTATAAATTAGAACAATTATTTCTCTGTAGTTTACTTTATTTCAGACAGCGAGCCCCACCACTTCTTTGGGGAAAAAAAAAAAAAAAAGGATATCTTCCCTTTCCTTGATGATGAGCTCATTCTGCTCCTCTAGCTGTCTGATCTTCTTCTCGAATGACTCCTGTTCAGCTTTCAGTCGCTCCTCTGTCACTTCCTTTTCCTCACTAACCCTGAAAGGATAAGAGAGAAAGCAAAGGCCCCGTCAGAGCAAAAGAGAGAGAGAAATGCCCTTGACCAGTGCTTCATTGCCGATAGCCGGGGCTTTCAGAGAAAACAGAGCTGTCTCCTAGCCCCACCAGCCACAATCCACTTCCTTCATGTACAAAGGGCATGTTGCTATGTAGTAAAATTTATATGTGACTTTATGCAAGAAATCTTTTCAAGCAGATGAGCTTCACAAGGAAATGTTTATGTGAAGGACCTGCACAGGGATGACAAAATAAAGACCATAACCTGCTGTTACTTTGGCACAAGCTGGGGCCCCGTAACCATAAGGAAGCCTCAATGGGTCCCATATAAGTATTGGGAAGAAGGGTTGGGGGGTGGGGGGGGATGTCTGAACCACTTAGTTCAAACTAAGAGGTGGAGTATTCAAAAGCATGGGGAGGACAAAAAGCCCTCAGCACTTTTCAACTTCTCATTATAAACAGAAAAACAATGCTTTAAATTAAATCCGGCCAATGAAATAGTGTTTAGACACACCAGATTTTCTTCAAGTCTTTTAACATTATATACTGCATAATGCAATTTCACTTTTGGCCTTGGCCCTGGCATCCTACATCTTGCCGCTTGGGATAAATAACTGGACTGCGATTAAAAGATGACAGTGTAAGCAAGGTTTACAATGATAATTTATTTTTCAGTTCAAAAGCAGACTCCAAAGACAAGAATAAAAAGCAAATTATTCTGGCATCATGTAGGCTGAAATCTATTACCCGCAGACTATTCCAAAACAGCTCAGGCTGCACTAAAAATGGGGCTGGGAAGTCTTGGATCTCGGAACACTGTTCATTCAGTGTGGAACGACAGACAGCGCCAGGGATAACGTTCTGCACTCGTATCATTTCTTTTGCTTAAAAGGCAGGTGAGAAAGCCAAGCAGCTGGTCAGCTTTCATTCTTCAGAAGGATCGTATGGGGTAGGTGGTTAAATAGTGGGGACCTTGAAACAAACCAGAAGAGTTAGTCCATCAGATCTGGAGAAATCTGAACTAGGTCACGATGATATAGGCTCCAGCCCATCCTGACACCATGCCTAACATAACCATTACACAGAAAGGGAAGGACTTGGCTGGAAGGGCTGATGCTAACATTCCTGCACTGCTCCAAACCCAGCAGCAGGGAGTCAAGGGAAAGGATCCAAACTTGTACAGGAGGACAAGAATGCTCTGGAGCTCACTATTACCATATTTGCCCAAATACAAGATGACTTTGAATTTATGATGAAAATGTATTATAATTTTCCATGTACAGAATCTAATTATTGTTTCTGGCAGCACAGGGTAGGAATGGCTCTTGGGCTCTCCCTGCACCCAGATCAGGTAGGACACGGTCCTTCCCAACAGCTCTGGTGAGTGGTCCCATACTCAATTCTAGGACAAGGCTTTGTTTTCCCCATGTTCAATAGGGGAAGGGGGAGGAGGGCTCATCTTGGAATTGAGTAAATGCAGTCCTTGATATATATATAAAAAATGACTGGCATCAAAACATGACAGCCACCAAGGGGGTGTGCCCCATTCTCCTGGTTGGGTACAATTCTACACACTGGCAGTGTTCATCAATCCAAGCCCTCAAATACAAAGCCAGATCAAAAGGGAATGCAGGCATAAGTAAGGGAAAGAGCTGCATGACACTGGTTCCACCCCAACTCCCATTAAAATGTAGCCCTATTGCAGTGAATAAGGCAACCCATGGCTTCTTGAAAAGCTGCTTGCCATCCATCCCTGCTCCCACAGAGATCTAAGAGGAGTACCAAGTTCAGATTTGGCATGTTGTAAGCACATTTCTCTTTTCCAAACCTACAACACTCGTGCAAGTATGAGAAGACAGAAAGCTAGGCAATGTTTGGTATGGGAACAAACGAGGAACAGGGGGGAACCAGAAAGCAGGAAGGAAAACCACCATCATACAATGACAAAATTGAGGGGGGAAAACGAAAAAAGAGAGTCAGGAGGTAAAACGAGGCACAACAATTGCTGCCAGGGCTCGTGGAGTCACCTGCTAGTTGCAAGGATGCTGCTCCACTAGAAGGCTGAGAACACCAGATGAAAGCAAAGGGCCATGCTCACAAGTATAAAACCTGGCCAACTTCAGCAAGTGTTTAAACGGCAGACAATCCTGCACAGATTTAACCGCTCCTCCTTCGCCAGAGAGGCCGGGCATCTCTCTAGATTCAGATCTGTCAGTTGTATTGGTCTGCATCACGCTCGCACAGTGCTGCCCTTCGTACTTAAGCGCACAGAGCACAAGAGCTCAGTCACGCTCTCCCATATGCGGCTATGTAGGGCAACATTTCTTAGGCATTAAAAGCAGTGAGCAATTTCATAAGATACATGGCAACATATGCTTATGTATCCCAAAGCAGGAGACAGCCCATAAAGGGCAGATAAGATAGAGAAGACAATTACTCACAGGAGGCTGAAGTTACAGAAAAAATAAAAGAGCTTCGTCAGATTATGTTGGATTTATGTCATGTCTCATACAAGGCTCAGGGGGGGTTTTATATACTTGTCGCATTGCCTTTTGGCAGTAACAAAACAAGCATTTTAGACATATAGGGCAGGACTTTTTTGCAGCCAAAGACTTCGCTTAGTTTATTATATATAGAAAGAAGCTTTTTCACTTGCTTCTCTTCTGACCATGGTAGGAAACTATGCAGGCAACCAGACTAACCGCAAAAGGGCAGAAACCTTTCTACCAGGCCCTCTCTCAGCATGCATGACTTCTTTGTTGCCATTTGTTCATATGGGCAAATGTATTATTACTTGCTGAAACCAAAGACAGCAAACCAATAAAATAATTTCAAGGTTTACTGCCAAACTTGCAATCTGTCTCCTAGCACAATTTATGTTCAATAAACCTTGTGGTACAGGACACACAAAAAAATAAAAACCTTTCTTCAAGACTCACTTTAAATTCATCTCTCATCAGACTATAACTTTGGATGCAACTACTTAAAGTCCTGCATATTGTCTACAAAAGACCTTCCAGAATTTAGAGAGATTTTCAGTGCAGCAGCAAAATCCTTTTAACAATAGTATTCCTCAGGAAATTTCTAAACTCATTAATCCCACTCACTAACAGTGGTGTTTTCCTGAGATCTGCATTAGAGCCACTAATAGGGACTGCATTTTTTACTAATGATTTAGCAGAGGAATCGATAGCAAGATAGTAATTATCGATATTATTGATAGTATTCTGGTTAGTAAAAAGCATAAAGAATGGTGAGAAACTCCTTGCAGCATTTCTGAGGCACTCCACAGCATAATGACAGATGAAATCACACTCAGCAATGCACAGGGGAAGAGTCAAAATATAATTACTTGTTAACACCAACGATGAACAAGATGAGATTGGAAAGGTAGCCCCTAACTCAAATAGCTCTCAACCTGTTAAAAGGAGACCAGAAAGAATGAGTTAGCAAGCTTTTCTTAAATAACAGTTTTACTTGCAACAAACATCCAAAGAAATGAGTTTCAGGGATCAAAATGCAGGAGGAGTAGCTGTCGATTGGTAAACCAAGATGGAGAAAACCATGGGGATCAAAGCAAAGACATGTAAATAACAGATAGGCTGATGGGGTCTGAACTTCGCAAGTCCTTTTAGCAAACTGCAAGTGTTACTCTAAATGTTGCCAATATGCATCATTAAAGGAGCGAAGATTTTCAGGAGCACCAAGACCTTAATTCCCATTTTTTAAAGTGACAGGCGCTATCCTACCTATTAGATGTTTAAGTCGATTTATGCACTTATGTGTGATCCTATTTCACCCTGCTCAAGTTGCTCCCATCTTAGCCTTCAGACTAAATCAGACTGAAATGGAATCATTCAGGCATTTAACAGACAGAATATGATCCGGACCTAAGTCTCACTGACCATTCACAGGACATCAGTACCTAGAGCAGTGGTTCTGAACCATTTTCAGCTTGAGGCACCCTTCAATATAGCCGAAGAAAATGCCAGCTCTTAACTGTTACTTTTTCTTTTTTGACTACAGAAAAATCCTAGAGCAGTAATTGTGTTGCAAATAACTCAGAAAGACCACAACAGATCAGACTGTTCTTCACACTGTGGATCCCTATTTGAAAACTCTGGGCTCATCTTGTGAATCATTTTTGCACACTATGGGCTAACATTGTGTGGCACCTCACAGCACCCTCAAAAGTGTCTCAAATCACCCGGTTTGAGAAATACCAACTAGAGTCTTATTGGAAAATCATGTTCAAAGGCCCTGCTGTGAACACTGGAACAGGTTATTACCCAGAGAGGTGGTAGACTCTCCATCCCTGGAGGTTTTAAGGCCCAGGTAGACAAAGCCTTGGCTAGGATGATGTTGTTGGGGCTGATCCTGCTTTGAGCGAGGGATTGGACTAGATGTGACCTACTGAGGTCCCTTCCAGCCCTCGTTTTCTATGATTTCTACGGCGGATGGATGCTACAAAGACTGAACCATGTGAAGCCTTACCCATGTGTGCAGTATAATTTTTAAGGACTTACCTACACAAAACTGAGACACAAGGTGACAGCACGAGGGAACTGGGGACAGGATGAGGCATAAGCTGCAAAGTAGCCAAGCCCCTCTCTACTTTGATCATTTCAGAAGGGAAGAGCAAGGCTCACAGGCCTCCAAGAAGACTCTTGAGAATGGGCTCAGCTTTGAAAAAGCAGCAAGCTGAGCATCCTCAAATAGGAAGGATGATGGATAGGAAGCTTGAACAGAGCAGGAGGTGAAGCAGGAGGTGGAGGAGGCTCAGAGCCTGGGCGGGGCCCAGCAGGCATAGTGGGAATGGGAGATAAGTAAGAGCACCAAAGAGAAGCTGTTTCTGACCTGCTGAAACAAGCTTTCCTCATTCTGGAAGTCACCCTTACCTCTGATTTGCTGTACTCCAGGAGCTCGGCAATCAAGCCAAGAGGAATTAAAAAAAACAAAACTACCCAACTGCAGGGCAAAAT